TAATGACATCCCCTTTTTCATTCCTGATACTAGCAATTTTTTCTTTTTCAGTTTTGCTAGAGGTTTGTTGATTGTATTGATCTTTACAAAGAACTAGCTCATGTTAGGGGGGAAAAAAAGAAAAAAGAACCAGCTCATTTCATTGATTTCCTATATTGGTTTTGCTTTCTAGTTCATTGATTTCTGCTATTTCTTGTTTCCTTTCTTCTGCTTGCTTTGAGTTTATTTGGTCCTCTCTACTTTCTTGAAGTGGGACCTCATATTATTGATTTGAGATTTTTCTTCTTTTCTAAAGTATGTATTTAGTGCACAGATAAATTCAGGATAAAAATAATGACATGGACAATTTTAAGCTCCTCTTATAGATAAAGAGGTAATTTTCCTATTAACTAAAGAGTTCCTTCAAACTGATAAGAATAAACCAACTACCCAGTAGAGAAATGAGCAAAGAATAGGAACAATTAAAGAAAAAGAAAATACTCAAATTCATTCATAATAAGTGAACCACAAAGACCAAAAAAACAAAACAAAAACAAAAACAAACAGACAAACAAAACCCCCCTAATAATACAGCATATTGGAGAAGTGGGAATCAGAAACTAAATATTGTTTGTGGGAGTATAAACTGCCACAGCCTTCATGGAGAGCAATTTGGCCACATTCCCTTTGACCCAGTAATTCTGTATCCAAGAATTTATCTTAAAAATAATCTTTCTTGTAAGTGTGAGAAATCACATATATCCAAGGATATGTATTGGAGCAATTTTCCACATCTGATGATTACAAACATCTTAAATGTCTAAGAGTAGAGGATTGAGCACATAAATATGATATGTTCATACAATGAAATGCTATGAAGTTCCTAAAAGCAGTTTTACCTGAGCTAATATAGAAAGATATCTAATATGTTTGTTAACCAAGAAAAGTAAGGTAGGTAAAAAATATGTATCGTATGTTGTAATTAAAAAAAAAAAAGTATATCTCTGTATAAATAGCCAGCCTCTGTAAGGATACACAAGAGACTGATAAGAGTGGCAGGCCAGGGAGAGGGGCTAAGTGGAACTGGGAAGCTGGGGGATGGGGTTGGGAGGGGAATTTACTTATATATATACTCATATAAACTTTTTAATGTATTTTATATACTCTTTGGCATCTTTTGAATTTCATATCATGTGAAGGGATTACCTATTCAAAAAAAGTAAAATAATTTTTTAAATGCTTAGCTTAAGTAAGAACCTCCAGAAAGAAATAAAGACAGAGACAAAATAAGTCTTTGTTCCCTGTGCATAGATGAAATATCCAAAGGGAGGAGGGGCATGAGCCAGGACTCAGGAGAATTTTGATTTTGTATGTCTTCAGAAATATACACTTATAGAATCATAGAATTCTAAGGCAAGAAAGTGTTGGAGATTCCCCAGACCCACTTTTATGCTGTGGCCAAGGGCAGGACAATCTGAGAATAAACATTTGCTAAGAAGAAATCTGTAAACACTTCCCATGCAGACGCTGAGATAAGAAGACCAAGAGATAGCAGTTTGGGAGCCAGTGAGCAGCCCCAGACATTCCTTCTGGTCACCAGTTGGACAAGCTTTGCCTGCCCCTTATTGCTGGGGAGCATGTTCCACTGCCCACTGTGCCCCCTGTAACCCAGGCCTCGTTCAGAGGAACCCAGCAGGTGTCTGGCCTTCTAGAAGCTGGAGGCAGTACATAGGATGCCCAGCAACCTGGGAGTGGTCCTCACCCATCTGTGACCGAGAGCCACTCTTCTTGCAGCCTGTGGGATATTGGGTGTCTTTCTTGATCATGGTTCCTCCCCAGAGCATCAGGTGTCCTTCCTGGAATCTTCTTACCCCAGGGTCAGGTAGAGAGTCTTTACCATGGATTCTAAGTTTCCCTTCTCGCTTAACCCTGAAGTCCTGTGAGTGATGATGATAAAAACATTGGGGGTAGTTATAACCTCCTCATCTTTAAGGTTTTCTGTCTGTCTGTCTTTATATCTATCCATCTCTCTTCAAATCACAGCTCTCATTTGATGCTCACAGCAACCTCATAGGGCAGATCTGACCCCCAGTTTTCAAATGACAGTAAAATATTTGTACGAGGATTTGTTTTTCAAGTGCTTTCTCGCACATTATCTCATTGTAGCCCCCTGATGTCCTCATATAGGCAAGAAAAATTTTATTAACCCAGATATGCAGATGGAGATATTAAATAAGCAGCTGTGGAACAGTGAGCCTTTGGGATAAGAACATGTGGGTTTGAATACTGACTCAATGGGTTTATTCCACCTGTTTCCTCCAGTGTGAAATGGGGATGATGATATCTGCATCCTTCATCATCAGACTGGATTGCTGTTACGATTAAATAACTATGATTTGAAAGAATTAGCATTCTAATGATTTCTTGTTTCTCAGTCTGTTCTATCACTTAAAATGTATTTGTATTTTGAAAATGTTTTGCAAAGGAGAGAATTACATAACGAACCAGACATGCCCATCATTGTCTGCAACAATCATCAGTACAAGGCCAATCCTGCCTCACTATACCCCTACCCACCTTTTCTTCTTTTGCTTTATTGACCCATTTTCAAAATAATGAAGTATTTCCCTAACAGCCTCAAAATGGGTTATTTGGAGTTGTAAAAGATATTCTTATGGATTTGTAACATATTTGTTATGTTTCAATCTGTTGCAGTTATGATCCTTGTTGATGTCCAGTTTGACCAAGGAAACCTTATTCTGGTTGGCTTTTGAGTCCTTTTGGCATGACTCTTGTAGTCTTTGACACAGCATTTGCTCTTTTGGTTTGATGAGATGTTCTAGGCTTATCTTGTACAATTGCTGCTTCAGACATTTCCCTGAGGAAGCCTGATTACTTTGGGGTGGGGGGGGGATAGTATTTAGAGTTCATAAACTGATTGCCAGGGGTGCTCAATCCTCCTGGGATGATCCTTGTTTCTAGGTCTTACAGTGAACAGAGCTAGGGAGTATGCTTGTGTGTGCACATGTGTTCATGCATGCATGCATGCACGTGTGGAAGATAAAACATAGGAAGTTCATTCTGTTACTGCTGTAAACAATCAGGGCTATAGACTTTTTACCTGATCTCATCAATCTTACATCTGTATCACCATTCAAGAAGAAACTCTTTTTTCTCAGCAACATTAGTAGTATTATTCCTTTGACTTATCCCACAATACACTATAAAATTCTCAGAATAACAATAAGAAGAATATAACAGTACCATCAATAATATGATTATTGAAAACAGTTTAGGGCTGGAGGGGCACAGGGAGTGGGGCAGTTCCTTTTATGCTTAGGTATATTCTTCCAAGGATATTCAGTCAAATTACTGTGTTTTAATTTCTCTATGTGTAGTGCAAACCAACCGGACACATGAACTCATTTGTTGCATTTTATTTTAATTTTAGGCATTTCTTTTAAAAATACTAATTGTGCTTTTATAATTATGTCAGATATTTACATGTTCCAAAGCAAATTCACACAACAAGGTCTATTTAAAACCCAGCTTTTGGGGCACCTGGGTGGCTCAGTCTTTTAGTGTCTGCCTTCGGCTCAGGTCATGATCCCAGGGTCCTGGGATCAAGTCCCAGCATTGGGTTCCCTGCTCAGCAGGGAGTCTGCTTCTCCCTCTCCCACTCCCCCTGCTTGTGTTCCCTCTCTCACTGTCTCTCTCTCTGTCAAATAAATAAATAAAATCTTTAAAAATAAATAAAACCCAGCTTTTATCCCTGTCCCATCCACCTCATACCTCCCCCTCTGTAGGTCTTTAAAATTTACAATTTTTTTTTAAGATTTATTTATTTATTTGAGAGAGAGAGTGCTTGCACGAGGTGAATGGACAGAGGGAGAGGGAAAGAGAGTCTCAAGAGACTCCTCGTTGAGTGAGGAGCCCAAGTGGGGCTTGATCTCATGACCCTGAGATCACGACCTGAGCCAAAACCAAGAGTCTGATGCTTAACTAACTGCGCCACCCAGGCGCCCCTTAAATTTTATTTTATGCTTTATCTTTTTATCGTCTTTTTGGAAAAAAAATAAGCAGATACACATTTATCTTCGCATTTCTCTCCCTTTCTTAAATAAATGATAGCATATTAAACACACTTTTCCCTATCATGTTTTTTCCACTTAATAGTAGAGATCACAACATAGGCACGTAGGATATATTTCAGATTCCTAGAACTGGGATTGCCAATCAAAGAGTGAGTGCATGCGTATTTTGATAGACATTGCCACATTCCCCTTTACAAAGGTGGATTTTACCATTTCCTGCAGACACATTTTAATGTTAAAGCAAATGATTAAGTGAGATATGTTATCTGCACCGAGAAAGGTTAAATGGTTGCCCAGAAGGACTAGCACTGGGCTTGAACCTGTAAGTTCTAACTAGTAGAAACTTCTCCCCATTTTACAGATGAAGAAACTGTGAGACATATGCAGGGAAGTGATCCACCCTAAATAACATAACAAATTAGAACTTCAAATCCATATCCCCTGACCCTAAAATTAGATCTCCTTTCAATGTTATAGATTTATTTATGGTGAACTCAGTTTGATTATCTGTAGGTGGGGAAGAAAAACCTAATAATAGTTCTCCTAAGTTAAGACAATTAATGAGATAATTATGGGTAAATTCCCCCATGGGTATAGGAGAAATTCTCCAAGATACGGCTTAACTTCTTTAGGTGAACAGGGAATCAAGCAATTAGATTATGATGTCAGGGCACTAATAATGATCTTATGGATGAAAGAGACCACCAAAGTCTGACATGTTTAGGCACCTTGCAGAATTGCTCTTGTTTCTTGCACAGTGCCGTGAATTTCTTTAAACAAAGATGTCGTTATGCTAAGCAAAACTTTCCAAATGGGTGTGGACAATGATGTAATTTCCCAGTGAATGAACAGACTGCAAACCACAAACCTTTTCTCTTTCTTTCCTAGAGTGACCCTGGGGCTCTTTGTGCTTTTGCTTTGTGACAGGTTGATTGACTTATGTGCAATTTGGGACCCTGGAGTTTTCCTTCCTGCTGCAGGCTGGAAGAGAGCCTCTGGTACCGCAAGAAGGAGGCTGAATGAGGCAGAGGCGGTGAGTGGGGTGAGTGGGGCTTGGCCTGGTGCACGTGGCTCAGAGGTGGGGGTGGGGGGAGATTCTTGCCTCTCCCCTTCTCTTTGATGAGCCAAGGTTCTTTGGCTTCCCGAGTCCCATGAAAGGACATCTCCTTCCTTCTCCCTGGAGCTGGCCACAGTGCCAGACCTCCAGGCTCTCCTTTGCAAGGAGGCTTGCACTGGGGAAGCTTTCGCTCCTTTTCTCCAGCAGATGCAGTCAGTGGCATTAGTCTTGTCATTGTCCCAACTGTCCACCTGAATTGAAAAATTGGGAAACAGCTTTGTGACCCGTACTCCCCGCCCTGCCCCACGTAGCTTGGCCTCCACAACCTGGGAGCCTCCTGAGTGACAGCCTCGGCATATGGGGGGCAGTCCGGAGAACCCCTCCTCTGGGCGGGGCATTGGACCCCAGCAGATGGACAGCTGTCCATGGCTCAGCCAGCAACCCGAGGCCCACATCACTAAAGCAGACCCCTGTGTGCACGGTCTGCATTGTTCCATTCTCAGCTAGAATTTCCTGCAGCCTGCGGCTCCTGTTTTAGTCCCAGGCTGGGGTGGCAGGGGAGGAAACTCGGGAAGTGAAGGCTGCAGTTTTAATGGAGGAGGAGTCACTGGTGACAGATTACAAGCTAGCAGCCTGGAGGCCTGCACAGAGAAAGGTTTCCTTATTCCTGACTTTGGGCACCCTCTGCTTCATGGCATTTTGTCTTTCTCTCTCCAGCCCCCTTTCCAGATGTCTTCTGTTCTCCCAGGAGTTGGAGATGGGGCTGGGCCCGGTGGGGGGCGGGGGGTGGCGTTGCTGGGGGCGGGATGCAGGGAGGGCGTTGAAGGGTGGGAGCAGAGCATGCTGATGACATGGATTTTGACATGGATTTCGGATCTGGACAAAATCCAGCTCTACTTGCTTGGTGACTTTAGGGGTGTTTCTGACTGCGCTAGGCCTGAGTTTCCAGGTTTATACAATGGGAATAATAATGGACGTCTTGTAAAGACTAAAGATGAAACGTAAAAAGAGCCCTGCATAGTGCCTGACACAGCAGGTGTTCAGTAAAGGAAAGTTATTATTATCTAGCCTACCAACAGAACTCAGATATACTTGTCTTATCAAGATAGTTTCTGTGTGGGCAAGCTCTTAAAACACTGTCAGGTTTCAGGACTGCTTGGGAAATCCATCTGACCACAGGGCTTTTCACTGAATCATTGTTACTAAATATTGAACTTGAACATACAGCACGACCTTGGGGGTGGGAGGCACCATTCTTTTGTCTTACTGTTTTTGGAGGACCCTGATCGTAAAAGTGGTATACCAGGCTATTTTCATGGGCATGTAAAGATATGGAAAACAGCATGGGAACAGACCCCCGGGTCTGGGACAGAATCGGGAGGTAGTCAGCGTTGCGTTACGATGCCCCCTCTCTTGGTGCTTTTTCAGGTACCCTCCCTCCTGTCTGTCCCTGTACCTGCTGGAGCCCCTCACTGCCCTCCCTGGACACCAGCGCTGTAGGTTGCCTCCCCAGACCCCCGCCTGAGGACCCCCCCCTTCTTAGGTGATAGCAGCATCACAGGCCGACGACACATCTGGCTGGCAGATCCCACGAGCAGTCACTCCCATGAGCAAACTTGTGCTGCTTTGCACCTCTGAACACTGCCAACCTAACCAGCAATCCCTAATATGGGTTCAGAGCTTCATTTTTATAGTGCATCCATTTAATTATGTCATTTGACTTTCATGACCATTCTGTGGTACGAGCAAGGCTAGGGTCTTCATTCCATTTGACTGAGGAATATACTGAGACTCAAGAAATCCACAAAATTCATTAGCAGCGGAGCCCGTCCTAGAAGTGAGATGCCCTGAATTACAGGCTGTTTTTCTTGCCGTGACACCACACGGCCTCCCCCAATCTCAGGCACCGGCACATCATGAGAGGTCAATGGGTCAGAGGACTTTCAGACACACAGAGAAGCCTTCAAAAAGAAAAAAAAGAGTGCGGAGAGTACATATGAGCAGGCCCATATGGCTATTGAGGGAACAATGAGTTCTGAGAGAAGGGGAGCTGATCCAGGTTTCTTTAGGGTGTGATAATCATCATCCTTATAATAATCCACATTCTGAGTGCTCCCCATATGCACCAGGCGCTGTGCTCTGTTCTTGAAGTCGCTCTCCCATGTAATCCTCACAACACACCTATGAGATAGGGCCCGTTATTGCTCACATGCTGCCGGTGACAGAAATACAGAAAGATGAAGGCCTGTGCCCAAAGCTGCATATCTAAGAAAGTGCCAGGCCTTGAATCTGAAGCCCAGCAGTCCAGCCCTGAACAGTTGGGTTTGGGGTGGCCGCTCCCAAGTCTTTCTGGAAACTCTGGGTAGCCTTCTCTCGGCCCGCCTCCAGCCAGGTTCTAGGTGGGAATTTGATTTCAGAAGCCTCAAGGGGCCAGTCCTCTGTTTGTCCTCCTTCCCTCTGGCTCTTCCCCTTTTGTTGTGAGGCCACTGCCATCTGGACCTGCCCCAGGCATCTGCTCTCAGCACACTCCTCCCTCCCCCGTGAGGCACCTTCCCCCCGCTCAGCCTAATCTCTCCCCTCCTCCTCTCCCCCACCCCAGGGCTGCGGCTCCGGGTCCTCACGAGGCACTTGGAGCAGACACCTGCCCTCTGATGCAAGGCAGAGAAACCTCCCAGTTCCTCAGGCCTTCCGCTTCCCAGATGGATCCATTCGGTTAATTGCACTCACACTCCTAAGCCCTTCTGCCTGTTGTGGAGAAGCTGGGCCTCCTCTGTCCAGAAGCATTCTAACAGGCCACCTTGGACAGCGCGAGCTCAGGACGCACAGCTGTGGGTTGCTGGAGAGGGGCCGGGAGCTTCATTAGGAGCTGTTTTGCATCTCCACCCCCTGCCCCAAGACTGATTCCCGGGCCCTGAGGCAGCACCCATGCTTAGCCACCTTCTCCTGGGGTGCTGAGATCTGCAGGCTATAGGTGTGGGGACGTGGTAGCTGCAGGAGCAAAGTCAGTGACGGAGACACCCCTAACAGCTGTCTACCTCGTTTCTCCCGAAGTGATGCAATCTCTTCTCCACCCCTCGGCCTTTGCTGCCACCCCGAGAAACCCACCTTTTTAGCAGAAGCGGGGCTGGTGAGTGTGAGACAGCAAGTCACCCCTGAGTTTCTGTTTCTAACAAGAGAACCGCATCTCTAGCCAAGAGAGAGGCGGTTCTACTTGCGGATGGATGCACTTCTCAGGGCATAGGACGCAGAGCTTTCCTCTGCACCGCTGGAGCCGGTCTCTGGTGTAAGCACTGTGGCTGCCAGCGCTTTGCACCAGACTCCCAGACACATGGCGCATCTTCTAATGCAGGCAGCCACCTTTCCTGTCTGTGCCACCTCCCCTCCTCCAGGCTCCTGTATTTTCACACCCCCAGCCTGCAGAAGCCTGCGGGATGGCAGTTGGATCCAGACTGATGTCTGTCTAGGGTGTAAATGGAGGGGGCCGGAGGGGGGTGGCAGAAGCCACTCCCTCCTGCTGTCTTAGTCCTTTCCTCCCAGTGCCCCTTTATCAGTCCGACGGGAATTTTTAAAAATGCAACTGGGGATGTGCTATCCTTGGAATATCAGTGGCTACACCAGTAAGGAGAGCAGGATGGAAGTTACCTCCAAAGAACTGACGCGGCTCTCCCTCTCTGGGGCTGACTCCGGCCAGGCGCAGTTGACATCACAGGTCATGGGGCGCCGGTGGAAGGAGCTGAAATGAATAAAGGGTAGGGGTCCCCGGCGGTGTGAAGTGCTTGGGTTAAGGAGACCCTGGCAGAAGCAGGAAAGAGGAGAGCCCAGAGCTGCTTTGGCTGGTCTGGGATCTTACAGGAGCATCCCTTTCTCTCTGGTCTGAAGTAGACAATGCCTATGCAGATAACCATATGTTGGTTTTAAGAGTGAATAGTAACTCCTTGGCCACAGAGCCAACGTTTTGTTATTTGCACAGGCATCGTGCATTTTGTAGATCTACAAAGTAGACTTGTAGATTCGAAAGCCCAGCTCATCCAAAACCATGTAACAGTGCAATACACCAGCTGTAACTTGGGGAATAGGAGAAAGGACCAGTGGGTTTTTTTAAAAATTTTTTATTGTTATGTTAATCACCATACATTACATCATTAGTTTTTGATGTAGTGTTCCATGATTCATTGTTTGTGCATAACACCCAGTGCTCCATGCAGTGCATGCCCTCTTTAATACCCATCACCAGGCTAACCCATCCTCCCACCCCCCTCCCCTCTAAAACCCTCAGTTTGTTTTTCAGAGTCCATCGTGTCTCATGGTTCATCTTCCCCTCTGATTTCCCCCCTTCATTCTTCCCCTCCTGCTACCTTCTTCTTCTTCTTCTTCTTCTTTTTTTCTTAACATATATTGCATTATTTGTTTCAGAGGTACAGATCTGTGATTCAACAGTCTTGCACAATTCACAGCGCTCACCATAGCACATACCCTCCTCAATGTCTATCACCCAGCCACCCCATCCCTCCCACCCCCCCACTCCAGCAATCCTCAGTTTGTTTCCTGAGATTAAGAATTCCTCATATCAGTGAGGTCATATGATACATGTCTTTCTCTGATTGACTTATTTCGCTCAGCATAACATCCTCCAGTTCCATCCACGTCATTGCAAATGGCAAGATCTCATTCCTTTTGATGGCTGCATAATATTCCATTGTATATATATACCACCTCTTCTTTATCCATTCATCTGTCAATGGACATCTTGGCTCTTTCCACAGTTTGCCTATTGTGGACATTGCTGCTATAAAACTTCGGGGTGCATGTACCCCTTCGGATCCCTACATTTGTATCTTTGGGGTAAATACCCAGTAGTGCAATTGCTGGGTCATAGGGTAGCTCTATTTTCAACTTTTTGAGGAACCTCCATACTGTTTTCCAGAGTGGCTGCACCAGCTTGCATTCCCACCAACAGTGTAGGAGGGTTCCCCTTTCTCCGCATC